AAAAAAAAAAAAAAAAAAAAAAAAAAAAAAAAAAAACCCCAAACCCTTCAACCTTATCGGCTAACCTTACTGGCTTACCTCCTCTCACTATCGCCGGCCCCACATTGGGCCTCGAACCACGACTCAACTGCCTATGCTTCACCCCACTCCCTACTTTAGCCCATCCCCACCTCCACCCATCCACAAAATTAAAACAACAGAAAATAAAACAACAATCAAAACAATAGACCAAACTCATAATGTTGCTGTTGAAATCCAAGGAGGCATTACGTTTCATGAGACGACAAGATTTGAGCAGCGCAGAGGCCGATATTGGAAAGCGAGGTGAGGAAATTGTTGTCGCAATGACTAGCTTAATCGTGCTTGATTACTTGGGTGGTTAGATGAGACAAGTGATTAGGGTTTCAAACAAAAATGATTCGGTTTTGTTTATTTTTCAATTAGAATTTTATTTTATTTTTTATTTTCAGGTATTTTAGATATTTTATATGTCAAATTTGTATTTCACCATAAAAGGTATTAATTTATGTAATAAATGTAATATGAAGGTATACTTTTTAATGAAATTAAAAACTGTGGGTATACTTTTTGAATAAATTTTAATTGCAAAGACCTTTAATGATGTCACACTAGGTCCTTGTAGTGATGTTACACTGTTTCATCAGTATATTCAACTTCACAATTGTTATATGAAAGCAAAACAAGAACAAAACAAACCTTTAATGATAAAAAGATAATGAAAAATCTCAAATATTTTGATGACAAGATCTTTTTTTTTTTTTCAAAGGTAATGTTGTAAAATTGTCACAATTCAATCTGCAAGTAATCCAAAGTGTGTGCACATCTTCGAAGTTATTAGGGAGAGCTATATCTTATCTTATTATTACTCTATATCTAAAGTAGAATAAGATTTGTTAAGGCGTTTCGTTATGTGGTTTCGTATGTGTTTATTTTTTTTATTTTTATTTTTTAGATTTCAGTGCATTGCTGATGTGAGTCTATTTTTTTCTTTTCCTTTTGTTTTAACTCTCTTCCATGAGGCACTGACCCCTTGGGCTTGAGGGCATCGGTTTTGGTATCAAAATTGTAGTAAATAATAATTTTTGAAATTAAATTAAGAAAATAACATATTTTAAAACTATTTGAAGTAAATAATAATAAATTATGTAAATGTCTTATTTATGACTGATAAAAAATCTTCATTCATGTGAGAAAAAGCCTTTTCACAATCATAAAAAAAAAAATTATGTAAAATTTTTATTTATTAATTATAAATGAAATATTTACTCAATAAACTGTTATTTACTTTAAAAAGCCTTAAAATATATTATTTACGTAGTTTCGTGAATATATTATTTAATGCATTCTCCTTTCAGGTATGCAAAGTAACTTCGCGCATTTCAATGATTGCCAGAGTTATTATTTAGAGTCCCACACGTTATTAATAAAAAGTGGTAGAAAAAAGTAAAGAGACTGCAACAAGGTTTTTTTTTTTTTTTTCTTTTCTTATAGAAAAGAATGGCAACCAATTTTAATTAAACTCTCATAGAATATTTTCTTAATAGTGAAAAAAACACATTTTTTGAAATTTTTAGAATGTTACCATTTGAACTCTTCTCACCCATTTTTCCCAAAAAAAAAATATATATATATATATAATCATAATTCGTATATTTTTAAAATGTTCACATTTTTTCCATTGACTTCTCTATCTTTACTATTTAAAATTATAATTCTATTTTTATATCAATAGTATATCGTTGTGCATTTCACAAACGTCATAATGTGCGAAACGTTTCGCACAAATTCTTATTACTTTTTATGAGTTTTTTTTTTAATTCACTTTTTTTGAGTTTCTTTTCCTTTTTTTTTTTGGGTCTTTTGTCTCTTTTATTTTTTTTGTCTTAATTTCCTTTTCTTTCTTTCTTTTTTCCTTTTTTTTTTCTTAACAATTTGTATAATCATTATTTGAAAGGATGTCACGCGTGAAGCGCGCGTTATGACAAGTCCCCAACAGAAACACAAATGCGTATGTTTGAAGTTCAAAGTTCTAATTGTTTTCACTATATTGTTCTCTCAAAACAATTTAATATATAGTCAATTTCTCTGTTCAAACTTTACAGGTCATCAACTTGTTGATCTGTTTAATGTGTCCACCTTCAGACAAAATGAGCTTTTTCAGGTAATAACAGCGAGATTCTCCAATTAAGTGAGGCGTGTCATGCTATTAGGCAAAGAGATCGAATTTATTCCATTCTCATGAGAATACATTTCTATTATGGTCACCAACGAGTCTAAGGCCAAGAAAATTCTTCGTCTCTTGGAAGTCTTTTCATGTTTGCACATCCATCGAGCTCTTACACTATGTTTGGTAGGAAAGAAAAATAGAAAGGAGAAAGAATGTAGAGAGATTTTAAGAAAGAAGATGAAAATATAAGTTGTTTGGTGGCAGAAAAAAGAGTTAATGGAGTGAAAAATAATACATGTGGGTCCCACCATTTTTCTTCTTTTCATAAGTGGGCGGAAAATAGAATGGAAAATGGAGACAACTAATTAAAGTGAACAAAGTTACTAAACTACCATTTTCTCTATCAACATTCAAGCAAAAAATTTAAGGGTATAAAAGTAATTTATGAGTAAGATTTTCTCTTTTCTCCCAATTTAACTTTCAATATCAAACAAGTAAAGATAAACTCATTTTCTTTCTATCTTCTCGTACCAAACAACATAAAAAAAATTAATTTTCTTTCCATCATTATTATTTTTCATCACTTCTATATTTTTTTTTCTATCATATTTTCTTTCCATTCTACCAAACATAAACATAGCATTAAGGTTCGCAAACTTTGTGTTTTGCAATAAAAATAGGTAGATTTTTCAACTTGTCTTTGCCTGAACATGCCTGAAGTTCATTATCTCTATATATAA